GGTTCCTCTGTGTTTGTCTCCAGCGCTCCCTGTGGGATACTTAGGGTGTGTTCAAACATAACACAGGGAAGTGAACACACATTCACACATATGCATAGGTATCAATTTTTAACATGATCGACCACAATTCTATTGCACTCTATACATAGAACACTACAATCCCCAACATGACCGACCACTGGCCGAACATGACCGTCACTTATCCTGATACCGGCTTCCTGATTGGCAGAGAAGCTGGCTCCATGCTTCCTCATCACCAGGGAGCATGGAGCTGGCTTCTCGGCCAATCAGGAAGCTGGGGGGTGGGTAAAGACTTGCCCCCCTCGGCTTCCTGATGGCCAGGAAGCCAGCTTTCAATCAGGAAGCCGGACGGCATGTAATGACTTGCCGCCCGGCTCCTGAATGGTCAGGAAGATGGCCAATCAGGAAGCCATGCGGTGAGTCATTACCCGCCACTCCGGCTTCCTGATTGGCCAGAAAGCTGGCTCCATGCTTCCTCGTCACCTAGTGATGACGGAGCATGGAGCCGGCTTCCCATGCTAAGCAGGAAGCCAGGCGGCGAGTCATTACACACCGCTCGGCTTCCTTAATGAGACTTCCGGTATCGGTATCGAAGAGTACCGAAAAAAAATATATCGGTACTCGATATTGAAAAACCGGTATTGGTTCATACCTACATAGAACACTACACCTCCAACATAACCGACCACTGGACATAATCATAATACAATTCCATTACATTCTATACAGAACACTACAACCCCCAACATGGCCAGAACACAACACAGCTCCAGTAGACATGTGAAGTCCTCATTATCTGGGACTTTTAGGACCCCGTCTTGGTTTCAGCAATTTATTGGGGATGTGTGGTAGAGGAGGGCAGGCGAGCTTAACCTTTAAATTTCACGGCTGTATTGCAATCTCTACAAACAGAACTTGGCTGGGTGTGGGGACTCGTTTGCCGGTGACACTGGATAAATATTGGCCTCCTACCAACAATCCATTGGCATGGAAGCCTGTGGACGGTCACGGCTGTCCTTGCTGTGAACTGTAGTCATACATTGTACACAACTGGAGCAAGCTGAAAATTGTACTGTCGTTGATAGTAGCCCTCTACTGTGTTTTTGTTGTTTTGGCACTTTGGTGTTCTCTTAGGATTGGGTCATTGATGGCCTCCACCATCTGCAGTTCAGGGTGGCAGTGGGCTTCTTTATGAGGATGGCTCCGTTCCAGCTTGATCATGTGACCTTCCATGCATTCAATCAGCACAATGGGCCTGCACCTGCTGTATAAGCTTAAAGAGTACCAGTCATATTTGGGCTTCTCTAGGACTCTAGGAGAAGGGCGGTACACTTCAAAGTAGGGATGCACCGATACCGTTTTTTCGGTATTGAGTCACTTGTTGCTAGGTAGCGTGGCTTCCTGACCAATCAGGGAGCCGGAACGCGAGTCATGATGCGCCGCCCGGCTTCTTGATTTGGTTAGGAAGCCAGTCTGGTTACCAACAAGTGAAGCCGGCTTCCCAGGCAATCAGGAAGCCGTGCGGCACTCCATGACCCGCCTCCCGCCTTCCTGATTGGCTAGGAAGCCAGCTTCACTTGTTCCTAGGCAGCCTGGCTTCCTGACCAATACCTGCCTGGTTGTACATTATGTGGGTCATGGGGGACATGGGAAAATTAGCAAAATCTGAGGACGGCAAAACAAAAACAACATCATGTGAGATTAAGAAATGTAATAATACAATTATTATCAGAATTTTAATTATTCAGCCCATTTATTTCTTTGCCAGAAGTCCTTCTTTTTGTAACTATCGTGCTTTGGCATGAGCTGCGGCGTGCTACAGTTCCGGAGGTTTGCCTTAGTGCATTGGGGTTCCACTGAAAATAAATGGCATTGCAATGCAGCAACATACATGCAACAACCACAACGCTTCAGTGCACATTAGACATACAAAGAGATCAACTTTATTGGCACCAAACGGGAGGCCTATTGTGTCAACCCATTGCAACATCTACTCATGAGTGACCAACCCCAGGGGGGGGATCCCTTCATACAAAATCCTTAGGAATGTGGAACGACGGGTCCCTTCTGCTGATCCTGCATACTATTTCCAGTGTGTTTATTTTGTTAAAAAAAATTTAAAAATCTTTTAAAAATACATTTTGCATTCATGTTATACATTATTGAATTTGTATTTCATTTCC